TTAATGAAGAATTTGGGAATTGGAAAAGTACCCTTTCTCCAGGCCCATTAGGGACCCCATTGTCTTAATTTGGTATTATGGCCCAAGCCAGTATTCCCAATAGAAAAAATGAAGGCACACAAGTTCCTGAACCAACCTTAAAGACCTGTAGATTCTTTTTCTTTCCTTTTTTTTTATATGGATTTTTTTTCTGAGAGGAAGGGAGAGGGATAGAGAATTAGAAACGTCAATGACAGAGAAACATTGATCAGCTGCCTTCTGCACACCCCCTACTGGGGATGTCCCTGCAACCAAGGTACATGCCCTTGACCTGAATCAAACCTGGGACCCTTCAGTCCGCAGGCTGACGCTCTATCTACTGACCCAAACCGGTTAGGGCAGGGCCTGTAGATTCTTAAGAAGACATCCCAGGGGTGTGGTGCTGGGAATGGCTGAGTGTGTGTTCCCCATAAGTGGGCCTTGAGTCTAATCTCCCGAGGACACTAAGTTAGAGAAAGGCGTCCCCTTCTCCTCCTGAGTGTCAGAAATATATGGGCAATCACACCTCATCAGTAGGTGTCCCCACAGACAGGTGGACCAGGAAACCTGGTTCCTGGGGAGTGTGTCCTGACCAGCACTGGATGTTGGCTAGGGTATGGCTGTGCAGTCACAGCCCAGAGCCTGGCCCTGATTATTCCAGACAGAAAATGCAGGACAGCCCAAAAGGAAAGGGATAAGAGACTCAAGCCACTTACCAGTTGACTCAGTGTCTGCAGACATGAAGGGAAAGATGAATGGAGTTGGGAACATATTGGGTATTGATGTTCTTTGTGAACAGTGACGTTGAGATGAGCTCGGCATGCAGGATTGAGTTTAGAGAAGCAGAGGGCTATTGCTAGTCAGGCAAGTAGCAAAGGCCCCCAAAGCCCTCATGGCTTTTATTTAGGGAGTACAGCAAATAACAATGGAGTACAGCGAGTGACAATGATTAACAGGCATGCTTATGAGATCATCTGAGCTAAGTTATACATTAAACTATTAATTTCCTATGTTATACAAAGAATCTTTCCATCTGCAGCAGTGTACCCTCCCTTGAACTTTCCATGCCCTCATGGACTATTTATCACCTCAAGGAAAGTTCTGCCTCTGAACAATAAGTCTTGCTTGCAAGACTTTGTTCTGACGTGGCCTGCTTGCAGGCTCCCATCTTTTCTTGGCAGAACGTCCTCTTCTAGTTAACTTCTCATTCCACTTGTCCAGCTACCTTGGGTCAAGGTGCTACGGGGCTATTGAGGTGGATTTATCTGGCAATAAAATAGAGATGGCAGTTTGCATCTTGAAACACATAAAATCTATTTTATCTATTTTATTTTGGAGCACATAAAATCACTGAAATAGTGTGTGAAATGTAGAATTTAAATTGGTGGAAATTATACAAGGCAGTCTCTCCTATAACTTTCAAACAAAGCCCATCCTCCTCTCCCACATCCTGCAAATGTTCTCTCCTAGAACATTCCCTTTTGCCATCTCTCTCCTGGGGAACCTCCCTATGGTCTTGCTATCCTGGGAAGGGGATATGGTCCCATGCAAGCCAATCTGGACAACAGTATAGTATATAGTAATATACAAAAATCCCATCACAAAACTTACCTTTAAACCACCTCTCCCAGGTTCTGTTCCCACCTCCCATCTCTTCCTTTCCTTTCTGGAAACTGGGACTTTACAAAATCTATGCCAAAGGAAGAAAGGCATGTCTGTATTGATGAGAGGAAGACTGTCTGCATCCCCAAGCTCTTTGCCAGGCCCTATGCTGGACACTAAAGATAAAAAAAAAAAAAACACGAACATCCGCCCCAGCCCACAAGAAATTCCCAGACTGTGGCAGAAACAGACACACTAAATGAGCACCACAGTGTAGAATGGCAAGGGCTGCACCGTGAGAAACCACACGGAAGGTGCAATTAGCCCAGGGTGGTGGGAACAGAGGGGCAGTTCTAGAGACTGATCACCCCTGGCAATAGCCCTGCCCATGGCAGCCTGGCACTCAGAGGGGCCAAACCCCATGGTGTTGAGCACAGTGTGCACATAAGACCCCACACACACCGGTCACATCTCCCCTGTCCCTCTCTCTTCCTCAGGTACAACTGGGGACTGTTTACAGATTCCTGGTGGCAGATGTTCTTCTCTATTCTCAAAGTCCCTGGAAGCCTGCGGGAGCTGGACCTGAGTGGGAATTCTCTGAGCTGCTCTGCAGTACAGAGTCTTTGTGACGCCCTGAAAAGCCCTCACTGCCACCTGGTGACCTTGAGGTGAGTCTGGCCTGGGTTCTGATCTGAAACAAAGATGGACAGGAGACCCAAGGTAGAAGTTGTGTCTAGGATGGGTGTGTGGTCTTTGTTTTTGTTTATGTTTCTAACATTTTTTATTTTTCAATTACAGTTGACATACAATATTACATTAGTTCCAGATGTACATCCCAGTGACTAGACATTATAAAACTTACTAAGTGATCATCCTGAAAAATCCTTGTATCCAACAAATATTCATTGAGCCCCTCTCTGACCATGGCTACTGCAGTAAGCAAACACGGACAGGATTCTGTTTTCACAGAGTTTGCAAGTGACTGACATTAACCACACTAACAAACGTGTAATTACAAGCCCAGATAAGGGCCTGCAGTGGAAAACTACCTTATAAAGTGAATATTGAAGGACATGGGAAGAATACAGAGGGTTTACCTAGGTGAAGCAGGAGGGCAGAAAGGTCAAAGGCCCTGTGACAAGAGGAAGGATGAGCTGTCATGCGATTGAAAGCAGACAAGTGAAGCTGGAGGATGGAGAGCAAAGGAGCCACAGGAGGAGGCTACAGAGATCAGGAAGCCAGACTATCTATGCAAGGCCTGTTGGAATCTGGGGTGGTTGTTTTTTTCTAATGCAATGTAATTATAATTAAAAGGTTGATAAAATCAGTACATTTACAAAGTAGAAACAGACTGCCACATAAAACCAGGAATGAAGGAAAGCAAGGTAGAGATTGGGAAACCAGTTCATAGGAAAGTTTCAGTTTTCCAATGAAGATGGTGAGAGGTTGCACTAAGGAATGTTACCATAGTTTCTGCAAGAAATAGTTGTATCTTGTACTATGGTGTCGGCCATCGAAATGGAAAAAAGTGAATGGATTTTAGAGATCTAAAAAGAAAGTAAAATCCAATAGATTTGAATTATGGAGAAAGGGAAATGGAGATATAGAAGATGATCTTAGGTTCAGGCCAGAGATATGCATTAGATAGTGGCACCTTCACTGAGATGGAAATACTGGAAGAGGAGTGAATGGGCGGGTGGAATGTCAAGATGTGATTTTGTGCAAAATCTTCAAGTTTTTTTTAAGATATCCAATGGGAGATGTCAAGCAGGTATCAAATTAACTTCTGTGAAAAAATAAGATGCCCCATAAAACAAATCTCACCAAATTTAAGAGAATTGAAACCATGCAAATTATATTATCTGAACATAATGAAATGAAATTGGAACTCAATAACAAAGGGAAATTTAGACATACAAAAATGAAACAACATACTCTTAAATAAACAATGGGTCAAAGAAGAAATCACAAGGGAAATTTAAAATGCTTTGAGATGAATGAAAACAAAAACAAAACATATTTGATGCAACTAACTCAGTGCTTACAGGAAAATGTATATTGTCAATGCCTAGATTTTAGAAATAAGGGATACAACTACTCACCCATTAGAACTGCCAAAGCTAGAACACTGACACCACCAAATGCTCACAAGGTTATGGAGCAACAGGCGCCCTCATACAGTGCTAGTGGGAATGCAAAATAATATGGTCATTTTGCAGAATCCTAGTGAACTAAACACACCCTTGCCATATGATCCAGCAATCGTGCTCCTTGGTATTTACTCAAATGAGTTGAAAACCTATGTCCACACAAAAATCTGCACAACAGTGTTTATGTCAGTTTTATTTGTAATTGCCCGAACTGGAAAGCAACCAAGTTGTCCTTCAGTAGGTGAGCAGATAAATAAATCATGGTGTATGCATACAATTAAATATTATTCAGTATTTGGAAAAAATGAGCCCTAAAGCTATAAAAAAATGGGCGAACCTTAACTGCATATTACTAGTTGAAAAAAGGACATTCTGAAAAGCTATATACTATATGATCCCAACAATGTGAAATTCTTAAAAAGACAAAAATATGAAGACAGTAAAGAGATCTGTGATTGCCAGAGGTTTGGGGGAGGTAAGGATAAACTGGCAGAGCAGAGTGACTCCTCTATATGACACTATAATGGTGGATACATGTCATTTTATATTTCAAAAAACCATAGAAAGTAAAGCACCAAAAGTGAGCCATAATGTAACCTATGGACTTTGGGTGACTATGATGTGTCTATGTAGGTTCTTTGATTCCAACAAATTTACTACTCTCTTGCGAGATGTTGATAATGGGGGTGGCTGTGTATGTGGGGGCAGAGGTATATAAGAACTCTGCAAAAAGTTCCAGAGACAGAGAAACACAGAACAGATTGCAGAACCTTGGAGGGAAGGTGGGAGAGGTTGCCAATTTTGCTAAAAAACTAAAACTATCCTATAAAAGAGAAATAGTCTAGAGGATTAAAAATGGTGGCAGGCTAAGTGGATGCTGCATGGACATGCTCCCAGGCCAGATCATACACCATGATCAAGTGGGATTATTCCAGGGATGCAAGGGTGGTACAATATTCGCAAATCAATAAATGTGAAACCTCACATAAACAGATTGAAAGACAAAAATCACATGATCATATCAATAGACACAGAAAAAGCATTCGACAAAATCCAACACCCATTTTTGATAAAAACTTTCAGCAAAGTGGGAACAGAGGAAGCATATCTCAACATGATAAAGGCCATATATGACAAACCTACAGCCAACATCATACTTAATGGGCAAAAACTAAAACCATTTCCCCTAAGAACAGGAACAAGACAGGGATGCCCACTTTCACCACTCCTGTTTGACATAATACTGGAAGTGCTAGCCATAGTTATCAGACAAGAAGAAATAATAAAAGGCATCCAAATTGGAAAAGAAGTAAAACTGTCATTATTCGCAGTGACATGATATTGTATATAGAAAACCCCAAAGACTCCATTAAAAAACGACTAGACTTGCCCAAGCTGGTTTAGCTCAGTGGATAGAGCACCAGCCTGCAGACTGAAGGGTCTCGGGTTCAATTCTGGTCAAAAGCACATGCCCGGGTTGTGGCCTCGCCCCAAGTAGGGAGCATTCAGGAAGCAAGTGATAGGTGAACACTGATTCTCTCTCATCATTGATGTTGCTATCTCTCTCTCCCTCTCCCTTCCTCTCTGAAATCAATAAAAATATTTTTTTTAAACTACCAGACTGAATAAATGAATTTGGCAATGTAGCAGGATACAAAATTAACATCCAGAAATCTATGGCTTTTTTATACACCAATAATGAACTCACAGAAAGAGAAACTGAAAAAAAAATAAAAAAAAAATCCGATTTATCATTGCACCAAAACAATTAAGATACCTAAGAATAAGCTTAACTAAGGAGATAAAAGGCCTGTACTCAAAAACTACAGGATGTTGAAAAAAAGAGATAGAGGAAGACATAAACAAATAGAAGAATATACCATGTTCATTGATTGGTAGAATCAATGTCATTAAAATGTCCATACTACCCAAAGCAATCTATAGATTTAATGCAATCCCCATTAAGATACCAATGGTATATTTCACAGATTTACAACAAACCCTCCAAAAATTTATATGGAATTTAAAAAAGACCCTAAATAGCCGCAGCAATTCTGAGAAGAAGAATAAAGTTGGAGGGATCACAATACCAGATATCAAGCTATATAACAAAGCCACTGTTCTCAAAACTGCCTGGTACTGGCACAAGAACAGACAAGAACAGACATATAGACCAATGAAACCGAACAGAGAACCCATAAATCGACCAAAGCCATTATGCTCAATTAATATTTGACAAAGGAGGCAAGAGCATACAATGGAATCTAGACAGTTTCTTCAGTAAATGGTTTGGGAAAATTGGACAGATACATGCAAAAAAATGAAACTAGACCACCAACTTACACCATACACAAAAATAAACTCAAAATGGATAGACTTAAATGTAATTTGGGAAACCATAAAAATCTTAGAATAATCCATAGGCAGCAAAATATCAGACATATGTCATAGCAATATCTTTACAGATATAGCTCCTAGGGCAGGGGTGGGCAACCCTTGGCACGCGTGCCAAACATGGCACGCCAGTAACTTTTGCTGGCACGGGATACCCTCTCTTATAATCTTCCATTTACAATTGTGAATCTTTGTTCTCAGTGATGAATTTTGTTAAGTCACTTAATAGGAGTAGCCTGACAGATGAACGTAGAGCTCGTGCATATCTCTGAAGGTCATGAAATATAAACCTGATGTAAAATCTCTGTCATCAGTGATGCAGCAGTAAAAGTCCCACTGATAATATCAAATGGAGTCATAAAGTTTTCTGTTGGACTAAGGGTGTACATGTATACATTAAAAAATAAATGTATTTTTCATCATCATATACTGTGTTTTTGTCACTCGAATGAATTTTATTATTTCTTAAAGGTTCTTCACATACATACACCTTAAGAGATATCAAGTAGGCGTAACATGTTCTCAAAAAATTAGGGTTGGCATGCAGAAGAATTTTGAGTCAGAGATTTTGCTGGTTTTGTCACGCACTCACAAAAAGTTTACCCACCCTTGTCCTAGGCCAATGGGAGCTTAGGGGGACATTTTACCCCAAGGGGGCTCCCTCAAAATAAAGGGTTTTGCGACCCAGGCAACAGAAAATCAACCAAAACAGCAAGAAAGCCCACTACATGGGGGAACATATTTGCCAATGTTATCTCCGATAAAGGTTTAATCTCCAACATTTGCAGGGAACTCATACAACTTAAAAAAAAGGAAGATAAACAATCCATTCAAAAAATGGGCAAAGGACCTAAATAGACACTTTTCAAAAGAGGACATACAGAAAACAAAGAGACATATGAAAACATGCTCAAAGTCACTAATCATCTGAGAGATGCTAATCAAAATGACAGTGAGGTACCATCTCACACCTGTCAGAATGGCTATCATCAACAAATCAACAAACGACAAGTGCTGGAGAGGATGCAGAGAAAAAGGAACCCTTGTGCACTGCTGGTGGGAATGCAGACAGGTGCAACCATTATGGAAAACAGAATGGAGTTTCCTCAAAAAATTAAATATGG